TCTTATAAGGAAAACCTAAACTTTTATATATGAAAAAGAGTCAGCTGTATTTTAAATCTTTAGGGTATGTATCCATTCATTAGTAGATTTTTGTTTTTAAAATCAAATTGGGGCAGAAATGGGTATAAGGAATTAATCATCACCTTTGATCATCAACCAAACCAAGCAAGGATAGTATGTCAGCCAGTAATAATTGGGCTGCTTTGTTCTTGTTCCCCAACCTAAAAGAATCCCCCATTCAACTATATGCCTTTCTAAAACTTTAGATTGTCTTCTTGTGTTTTTCACCTCAAACAAGAACATCTTAGTCTAACTTTGTTATTTTCAAAGCTTTGTTTCAGTTGTGATGGACTCCAAGACCTGTGAACACATCTCCTGACATTAAGGTTAAAATAATTTAAACTAGCTGGGGTACTGGGACTCAATTGTTAGTAATTAACTTGAGCTACAATCCACGAAGCTCCTTAGGTAAACCTCACAGCCCCTGGCTGTGAAACATAATCTTGTATTTATCTTTATTCATCAAAATTGTGTATAATTTATTATTATCAATTTAGACAGTACAGCTTAGAGAAGGGTCATTTTCTTGACAATCCACAGGTAAAAATGCCCAGTAGAACGGTGTATTTCCAAGAGATAAGCACACTGTATTACAGGCAGTGGAGATCTCCCTATGTCCACTCACACCATGCTAGATACCAGAGAAAGAAAGGTGCAGCAAGCATGTATAAAGGCACAGCAGAAGCAAAAGACATTTCAGGGTGTGCAGTCCATGGCCTTGCCTAAATGAGATTGGCCTGTCAGAGGATTCCCTTCTGGTGGGCTGACACATGGAACTTCAATTACAACACGCTGCTCCTCTGGCATGGCCAATGGCAGGATATTTCTGACAGGCAAGGCTTCACAAATGTAACCTTTGATACATAGCCCTGGAATCATCATCACAGCTTTCTCAGTACTTACAGAAGACAGCAGTTGGAGGAGGATACTGTCATTTCTCCGACACATGTGGCACTGAGACAGAAAGGCATGCTCTCAATCACATGCTAGTGAGAAGTGGGATTGGGTTTGAGCCTGGACTGTCTTAGCTATGTTAGTAGTATACTACTTCTGTCTGAAGATAGACTCCACTAAAATGAGGGACACAAACCACACAATCCAGAAACTGAAATCAAATCTAGAGCAAGGTGAGAGAAATTCCAAGGCTGAAGATAAGGTGATGTTTTGGTGGTAATACATGAAAAGGTCCAGAATGGAACAGACCACTAGACTATCCCCAGAAAAAGTGGAAGAAATGATTTTTAAAGGGGAGCAGACCTGCAAAATGAGTGGTCATACTAATACAGTGTAGCTTGCATAAAGAACATGTGTATAACCTTTATGAGATTAACTATGAATATAGTTTTTCACTTAGAACTGTGATTTAGGGAGGAGTGGGAAGAAACTATGTATATATACATACATGGGACCAGTGGGCATGATATAAGCCCATTAAATCCTCCTAATTCATGGTCAAAAGTAAGTAGGTGATATTTGAGGGGAAAAACCCAGGGCTGTTATAGGACATTTACAAGTATGGCTGGAAACACCACAAAAGTCTCTTCAGTGGTGTGACTGGAATTGGTAGTGGGAAGTAAGGCCAATGAATACTGTTATTTTATGTTCCATCTGTGTTATTTTGTACAATATGAATCCAAACTCCAGGATTATCCTCTTTCTGTCACAATTCATAAACTTCCTGCTTTCAAATCTTGATGACTCTATATTGAAAGATTTGGGGCCTGTCCTCTTCTAGCTGCCATTTGGGACAGCCACCAATTCTGTTGTGTGAATTCTTACAGGGTCTCTTCTGAGTTTGTCCAGCTGCCATTTGGGATAGACATCAACCTCTCTCCTGTGAATTCTTGCAGTATCTCTGTTTGTCCTTGTTGTCTTTGATTCTCTTCAGCACCTGCACTGTTGCAGTTAAAATACAGTTTGTATTTCTCACTATGATATTAGCTCTCTTAATTCAGAGTCAAAAGCCCTTCTGGCCACACACATCCCTCCTCTGCTCACTGTTTTCACAGCATTTATCACTATTGGATGGATGTCACCTGACTGTCTGGCCTTATACTCAGGGTGCCTTTTTCTTGTTTTCCATCTGGCTTGTTTTGTTTGTTTGTTTTTCTCTTGTATTTACAGTGTTTAAGCACAATGCTTGGTTTACAGTAGACACTTCTTTTTTTTTTTTTTTTTTTTTTTGGTTTTTCAAGACAGGGTTTCTCTGTGTAGCTTTGGAGCCTATCCTGGCACTCCCTGTGGAAACCAGGCTGGCCTTGAACTCACAGAGATCCCCCTGCCTCTGCCTCCCGAGTGCTGGGATTAAAGGCATGCGTCACCAACACCCGGCTAGTAGACACTTCTTAAACAGATGTTCACATCTGTTTTATGTTTTATGTTTTCATAAAAGAATAAAGTCAGGTGGTACATATGACTATAGAGTCATCAGTACACAGGAGGCTGAGCCCACGGCTGTCCAATGAGACCCTGTGGTGTTAAAAGCCAGTTAAAATATCACTGGCTCTCAGTTGTTTGCTGTGTTTTGATGAGTTGAGCTGTTGTCCTGCTTTACTACCCACAGCAGTGTGAAATAGAAAGCTAAGGGGTTCTAATTGAAAAGACTTGTTTCCGTTTGGGAAAAAAAACAAAAACAAAAACAAAACATGTTCTGACAATGACACACTATTAAAAATCCATTCTAACCTATCAATCCTTTCACAAGGATTTATAGTAGTGTTCCTGGTTCAGGCATGTGACTGTGACTGTTCTTAGACTCTGAATGTAAAGGCACCTCATAAATGTCTACTACTCGGAGCAGCTTGCCTAAGGTTCTAGTTATGGAACGTCCCCCACAGCCAACTCCTTGTTCAGAACAGTTCATGACATGCTTGGCTGCTGACTGAAGCCCTCGTGTCTCATCTTTCCTAGCTGCACCTCTCTTCCATCTACTCCATCAAGACACTTAGAGATGCCAAATCAGTGATGTCATATGTGTTTCCATAGCTACACTTCAAATTTGCACACATGATTAGAACTCAACAGTGGGGGATGTTGGGAATGTGGGAGGGAAGTTCTTTATCCTAAAGCAAATATCTGGCAAGTGGGAGAAATATGAGGTGCAAAGTAAATAACCTGGTCTTTCTTCCCACTGCTGGGAAGCCTCTTTATCATAGAAATCAGTGGAAAGGCGGCCTCTCCACATCTCCATTCTTAAATAGCTCCACGTGGACGATGTTTGGATCTGGAAAGCACTCTTAAAATATTTCAACATCATCTTCCAGTGATGTTGAGTCTATTATATAGCTCATTCACAGTAGTTGATATCTGTGTTATCAGTTTTTACTAGGAAACAAACTGATTTAGTTTGTTCTTGATGGTTTCATTAAGAGTAACTTGATATGGGCACAGCAACAAACATGTTGTGAGCTCCAGACCAGCCAGGACTGCTTATGTGACCCTGTCTAAAATTATAGACAAAAAAATCAAAGTAAAAATAAAAATGTTGTTTGAATATTTAGAGTTTAAGGGTTCTAAATAATGGAATTTTAAATGCTTTTTTCCTGGATTTCCAGCTGTGTTCAAAGTTACTGGTTTGCATAACTGCAACCCTGTAGTTCCTTCTTACTGGGTCATGAATCCCTTGTTTAAAGTTGCCCTATCATGTCATTTTGAGGGAAGAAAATGAGTTTGAGGAGAATACTACCTAAAATACAGGCAATATGCTACATGTTCGTTTTAGCCAGTGTTATTATTGTAGGCCTAAATATCTCTCTCTCTCTCTCTCTCTCTCTCTCTCTCTCTCTCTCTTTCTTTCTTTCTCTCTCTCTTCCTTTCTTTCTCTCTCTCTTTCCTTCTTTCTTTTTCTTTCTCCCTTTCTTTCTTTCTTTCTTTCTTTCTTTCTTTCTTTCTTTCTTTCTTTCATTCTTTCTTTCTTTCTTTTGTGATGGGGACTGAGTGGTTTTAATTTTTTGTGAACTTAAAAATGAAAAACCTTAAAATAATTTGCGCTAAAACTTGGTATGGATTAGGATCATTAAAATTAAGCATTGTTGTTCCTCTACTCTTGTTTTAATATCTAAGTAGTCAATAATGTTATAAAAGATTTCAGTAAGGCATTAACAAATGTTCCATGTAAATAGGGAAATTTGGAAATTGATTAAACAATTAGTAGGATTCTTTTCTGATTGTAAATTCCTCTCTAGTTTTTTTCAATGGTGGCTTGCTGCAAGCTTCTACCATTGTCTTTGGCCTGTTTGTAAGGGATACAAAGAATTTACATACAGGGTTGGAAGGCATTTTTAACCTAGTGGTAGGTGAGAAAGCTAAGAAAAATAACTAAAATGTAATAGGCAGCTAAGAATTTTAAAAGGTCAGAACCAAAGGATAAGTTGAAAGAGAAACGTTATCATCTTCAGTAGTTGTCATGGATATTTAGAGCTTAATTTTCTCTTGGAACCTGTTTGAGGTGGGCTAGAGTTAGTGCATTCTTACTGTTCTAAAAACTCCATTTGTGAGAGTGCTCATGTATTCAAATATACATAGAAAACTGTATTATTTCTAGGTTTTTTTTCAAACTCCTAGTTTTTTTTTTTTTTTAAGTTTCAAACAAAAAATTGTAGTATTTTCAGAGGGAAAATTTCCATGACTTGAATGGACAAGCTCATTTTTCATTTTCCAGGAGTTTCTTGAATATCTGCTTTAACTTTGGAGATACAGCAACTTTCCTGTTCTCCACTGACACTCAGACTGGCTGACATCATAGCCCTGTATAATACATATTTTTCATTAACATTGTTGTGATAAGCAGTGTCCATGAATACACAATGATCTAAGTGTCCTTCTGTGTGGAGTCACTGGCGATGCTTTATTTTAGTAGGGACATTGACAAACTACTACAGAGAAAGGCAGTTAGAAATACTTCAGTCATGTCATAATGAACCTTTATTTTATGTTCTTAGGGACTGAAGAGGTTAATGACAATTTGCCAAAAGCACTTTCCTACGGATCCATCAAAATGTGTGGAGTATAATGCGCTATGAGATCTATGTGCAGTGTGTACATAACAGGAAGCCTCAGCAAGCAGCATTCGGATTTCTGGCCTTACCACACAACAAAGGAAGAGTTCTACAATAGAGTTCCATTGGATGCAATTCTTGTTGGTCTTAAGAACTGTGTTGACTTTCATATGGTATTGGATTGCAAACAAATTTTTGTGTGTTGCTTTCATTTTAATCAATTGAAAAAATTAAATTCTAAAGCTATTGTCCATAGTGTAAATGTGTAGACAACAAGGAGAAGGGAATTTGAACTGACCTTTCTCCCCAGGACCCAAAAGTGTGTCATTAGATAATTAGAAACATTTGAGAGTGGGTTTAAGCTTTCTGTAAATTATCATGATTTGCACATTTCTCTCATGTGGTATTTATAGAAAATACTTTTTGTATTTCAACAAAAGTGTTGGACCATTGAATGTTCCTTTACAGTTCTTAAATGTTTTCTGGACTTCTGCCATCATGCAATAGAATGTGTTACTGTTAAGTGTTATTTTTCTTGTGATTCAGACTTGCTTTTGTTTCTAAGCAAGGCACATTTTAGTATTTGTCATTCATCCTGGACAGATAAAATTAACAGAGATAGAAGGTTGGAAAGCAAAGATGGTATATTCCACCAGCATAAATTCAAAACACTAGTGCATCCAGGTTAGGGTGAGGAGATGGGCATGGGAGCCATCTGAGAAAGGCAGCCTCGTGACAGGGATGCCGAAGAGGGTGGAGTTCCTGGCTTCACCGTACCACACTCAGTCCTCACTGTGGCTTCACAAAATGAGGACTTGCTGTAGGTCTCACAGGGTGGAGCTTTGGTCATCGTGACCACTCACTGCTGCGGTGCTGAGAGGACTGGGTTGTTATGTGACAAGTTGAATGGTAGTGTCAGAGAGGCAAGAATGGGTGGGCCACATGAAGACTGGCAGCTTCTCGGCTCCATGCACTACCAGAGCAGTGGTGGACAAGTGCTTTCATCTTGCAGGGCTTTGGTTTATCACAGTGGTGGTGAGAGTACATACCTCCTGTTGTTATTGTATAAGTAAAATGCTGAGCCTGCTGCCTGGCAGAGAACAAGAGATCATTATTATTGCTTGGTGTGTATTCTTAATACAGTGTAGACCAAGGGTCTTTATGAGCCCTGCGCTGGGACTACAGTAGGATAGTATGAACTGGTGTAGTAACAACAACAATGATTGTGTTAGCAGTAGTAGCAAATGATGGAATTATTAAGTTTCCTGTCCAAGTTTAGAAGTGCAGAGAGTGGGAGCCTGAGGCTGCTGGAGGTGGCTTAGAGTCACAGTTGCTTTTTCTGGTCCCTCTTGAGAAAGAGTGAAAGCCACTTTTGACTACTTAAGGTCCAAGGCTGTGCACAGATAGGACAGTCTGCCAGTTACTTGCAGGGAAGTAGGTGTCAGTCTTGGTTTGAATTAGTGTCCCACACCCCACTGTAGAAGTCTTTTCGTATGATAAGTTAGGTAGAACTTTGGGGGATTTATTTGACTAATGAGAAACTTTCATGAGATGTGCAACAAATCCCTACCTGTGGCATGTGGTTTGTTATAAAAAGGTCTTCTTTATGAATATTGCCGGATAATGCCCAAATCACTTAGTCGTCATCCACTGTCGAGTCACAGCATGGTAAGTGATTTTATGTTGTCTTCCTTTCTGTTGTTGATATTCCACATGAAGAAGAAACTGTATCATGGGATTTCAGTACTTTTTAAAATTGATCAGTCTGGGCTGGTGGGTTTTTGTTTGTTTGTTTGTTTTTTTGAGGGGTTATATATTCTACAGGACTGTGACTTTAGCCATTCTGGGTTTGGAGGGAAGCATGTTCAAATATGTGGCTCTCTCAGGAAAGTTTTTCATATCTTAAATTAATGAAGCTATATAGAAACTCCTGGGATATGTAGAGAGGTGATCTTTCAAGTCATGGAAATTGTACTTCTGCATATACTATATATTTTTGTTTCAATTTTCTTAAAACAATAAAGATATACTTTTTCTTTTAAACAGTCACAATTCTAATGAACTATATCCCTTCCTGCCTCCTCATCCTCCCATCCAGAAGAACTGGGATTTTCTGTATTCAGATTTAATAAAAACATCTTTTTTTTTCCCTTCAGAAATAAATGCAGGTACTCCTTGACTCAGTGTAGGCTTAGTGCTGATCATAGGTGAACACACGGTACATTGAAGATGGATTTAATGCCCCTAACTTAATCAGCTTGTCCTAGACTGTCATAAATGTGCTCGGGATACTTACATTAGCCTTTGGCTAGGTAAAGTCACCCAACACCGAGCTTATTTTTATACTAAAGCACTAAAGTTCATGTACTGTCTTGACTGTTGTGTGCTGCTGTAGATTAGTGTCAGTCATTTTCTCTGAAGATTAAGTTTGAGGGCTCATGTGAAGGGACCACTACCCATCATCGAGAGAGGATCATACTGTGTGTGGCTAGCCAGGGAAGAGCCAACCCCCCCCCACCCAAAAAAAAAAAAAGTTAATGTTCCAGAGTGCAGTTTCTACTGAGTACTTTCTGCTCTCACACAGTGTAAGATGAGAACTTGTAATTGGAAACTCTCATTTCCTAGGAGTGTCACTGTCAACTGAAAGGATTTTCATTATCATAACAGCCTGTGGCAGGCAGCCTGGAGAAGCAGTGCTTTCAGGACTTGGGGATGGAGACTAAGAAAATAAAGCAGGGGCCTTGTCGAGATATTGTAAGAGGGAGGGTAAGGTCCTGGGAGAGCAGAGTGAGGTGGGCAGTGGTCACTAACAGAAGGGGTGGGGGTTGTTGTGGGCCTGCAGGACTGGGAAGTAGGGCCGATATTGGTAGGACTTGATAGTCTGAAGCCCTTCCTTCTGGTGATGTTTAACATAGTTCAGTACTTGAACCACTCTGGAGTTTGACCCCAGTAAATCATTTCAGAATGCAAATCTTTGTTATTGCTGTTGAAAAGAATTCTGGAGATAAACAGCTTGAGAAAGATGTTTATTTTCAGTCTTTGTGGGGCTTGGATTTGGGCATTCACAACTAGTTCCTTTCCTGGCCCGAAGCTCTGCTAATGCTTCCCATCACAGAAGGGAGGCCTGAATGAAAGGGAATCTTGAATTGAGCTTTAAGTTTCTTTTGTTTGGGCCTCTTGAGTGGATAACTTAGTCGATTGTACCTCCTCCCTGCTGCAGTCTTCCCCCACGAAGCCCCTGAAAGCATAACTCTATCCTCTAGAAATTTATGGTATGGCATCGTATTGGGAGTCCTGAGCCGAAAAGCACTTTCTCACGGTGCATTGATGGAAGAGTTTCCAGCTGTCCAGAGAGCCGAGGCCAGCACAAGTCTCCAGAGGTTCACTTTGGAAACAGCTATGGTAACTGGTTTTCATCACAGACTCTGCAGTTGCACTGACTGAATTTTAACCACTGGAACTTTAATGGTTAACAATAACCCAAAGTCTTGAAATTTTAAAAATGAGTTCTGGTGGTGTGGAATAGCTAGGGAGTGCTGTGTGGCTGGTTAGCAGCAGCAGCTGTGTGTGAGCTAACCCCAGCCAAGATTTTGGACTTGTGCGCATTACAAAAAAGGTTTATACATTGGCCAAAATAGTTTACTACTGAAACATTGACTGTTTGTGTATTTTCCACATTTTAAACTGGGGTACTCTACACAGCATGCTTGAACTAATCTGTGCCCTGCCAATTAAGACTATATTTTAACTAGATCGCTTCTCTTTGTTTAGCTTCTTCCCTATCCCTAATCCCTGCTCTGAAATAACCAGCAACCACCTTTGTTCCCCCCTCAGTGGCCAGGCTTAGCGCATGCCTTCACGCAAAGGAGAGCAGCGGCTCCGGACTTTGCATTTTCTTTTTGGGTGTTATTTAGTGAGCCTAGCTTCATTCACTAAGCTTCCTGCATGGCAGCTAAGTCATTCCCACAGGCTTGCAGCTGCAGTTTTACAATCTGCCAAAACCAAATTGCCTTTGCACATTGCGTGCTCTTCTTTGAACACTTAGAAGACGTTATGACCTATGGGTGTTGCAGCTTGGGCTTGGCCGAGACTTTCTGTCCTGTGAAGGAGTTGAAGTTGTAGATTGGACACTCAGAGCAAACAACGAATGCTTCAAAGACCCAGTACCACATATACCCCCATACATAGGACTGGAAAAGCACTGCCTGGCCATGTCTGAGGCAGTATATGTTCCTATTTTTTGTTTGTTGATATTTTGGCATGTTGTTGTTGTTGTTGTTGTTGTTTGGTGGTGGTGGTGGCAGGTGGGTGTAGTGGTTGGCAGTGTGTATGTACACGAGTACATGTCACAACATGTGAAGATCTCAGACGACAACCTCAGTAAGTCTTCATCTTCTGCTTTGTTTGAGACAGTAGGAACTCTTGTTTTGCCTCTGCATGCTCCAGACTAGCTGGCACACAAGGTTCAGGGGCTTCTTCTCCACCTCCCATTCTCTTGAAGGAGCGCTATAATTACCGGCATCACTACGTATCCAGCTTCTATGTGGATTTTAGGAATTCAGACTCAGATCCTCATGGTTGGGCATCAAGTGCTTTTACCAACTGAGCCATCTCTAACAGATGCTGGTTGTGGCCCGCTCAGGTGATAGCTTAATAATGTGAAAACTACTGATAGAGGAAATCATCAGCTGATTTAAGGAAGGACACAGCCTTTTGGGTGAATTTAGAGCAAAAGGAGTTTACTCCTCTTTAATACACAGGTACTTATTGTGTATTGGCTCTTTTCAGCTATCTTTGTGTGATAGACCCCATAAAAATCAAGTTATGTGTTATGGCTTTTTAAAACATTTATAAAAGATTTATTTTTATGTTTGTATTTTGCTAGCATGTATATAAGCATGCCACATTTGGGCAATCCCTCTGGAATTCAGAACAGCATCTGATCATCCCACAGAAGTGGAATTACAGATGGTGTGAGCTGCCATATGGGTGCTGGGAACTGAATCTGGGTCCTGTGTAAGGGCAGCAAATTCTCTTAGCCACTGGGCCATTTCCAGCCCAGTGTTCCAGTTTTAATGTCACTTTCTTCTCTTGTTTAATAGTGTCATCATAGTGACATTCTTAAGAGCATAGGATTTAAGAGAAGAGGAAACTGAACGTATGTACTTTGTGTAAAATCCTAGTGTTTTGTTTTTGTTTATTTCTGTGTGTCTGAGTGTAAGCTCATGAATGTGGAAATATGCACACCTTTGCATGGTTGTGGAGGCAGAAGAGTGTAGCCTATCCTTTTGAGCAGAATCTCTGTGATTCTGGGGCTCACGGATCTATTTACTCAAATGCTTTGAGATCACTGTATCCTGACTCCTCCTTGCCTGTCTCAAATGCTTTGAGATCACTGTATCCTGACTCCTTCTTGCCTGTCTCACGGAACAGCCTCACCTTTTTCTCACACCAGTTGAATTTGGAAGGAGTTTTAAGGACCACATCTGCAAGCATTTCTTCTCACCAGACTTGGAGGAAATAGTGTTCTCTTTCTGTCATAGGCAGAATCATCTGTCCCTGGTTTCCTATCACTCTCTGATAAATGATTGAGTTTTTATTTTCTCCCCCTTTCCCACAATGGAATATAAATCTTCCATGATAAGCATTCATACCTGTTTTGTTTACTGCAGATGTGGGAAGATAAAGGTCAGAGATGATAGCAAGATCTTTGGCCTGAGCCCTAGGAGGATGGAGCTGCCTCTGAGTGGAGGAGTAAGGTCATTGGTGGAACATGTTTGGAGGAGAAGGTCAAGAGGTAAACATCTAGCTGCTGAGGAGGAAATAGGAAGTATAGATTAAGGGAAGAAGTCCAGGATGGGTAGAAAATACTGGTGTTGTCGCCATAAAGGTGGCATAGCAAACCATGAAGTCAGATATGAGTGTTCACGGTTTGAATCTGAATTATTCCCAGCAGGCTTATGTGTTCAAATGCTTTGTCCCCAGATGGTTGTGGAGCTTTCAGATGTGAGGCCTTGGTGGTGTAAATTGTTCACTAGGGATGGTCTTTGAACTTTATTTGCCTCTTGTTCCAGTGTTGCTTTTTGAGTTCTGGTCAGCCAAGAAGCAAGAGGCCTATCCTTGTAAGGACCTGCCACCACACCTTCCCTGTTGTGATGAACCAGTCTCTAAAACTGAGTCAAATAAAGCTGTCTTCCCTCCTGTTGTTTTTCTCGGGTACTCTGTAATAGTGATGAGAAAATACAAGATGCCCAAAAAAGTAATTGTCAAGAGTAAGGAAGTCCAAGAACAGAGCTGTGGGACACTTCAAGGTCAGGAGAGCTTCTGGCTGATAGATTACTATGGCCAACATGAGTGTTTCAGTCAAGCAAGGAGCATCGTCTGCATCCAGTGCCTGCTGGTAAGTCACATAAAATGACAAGAGAATTAACTATTGCATTTGGCATCATGAGGAGTCCATCTTGATGACTGGGCTAGGTACAGTGGAGGGGATTAGTGCGAGATTGGAGAGAGTTTAGGAAAAATGGGCACACGAAAGAGAAACAAAAGAAGCCTACTAGCTTATAGGGATAGAACCTTATTCCTCACCCCCCCCAGTGTGTGTGTGTGTGTGTGTGTGTGTGTGTGTGTGTGT